GGGGGGGGGGGGGAGCTCAAAATGAAATGAAAATATCAAGCTGAAAATAAAATGTTCTTGGTAATATTTGCCTTTTTGGTGGAAACATGTTCAGCCATATTTCTCATTTAACACAGATCCAATAATGCATCTTATTTCGCTTTGAATATATTACCGTAACCACACTGCGACATACAGATCTCACTCTCGTAACCACATTGTTAAAAATTCAATTAGCTGCATCGCCCCAAATAGTTCTGGCCATGAAAATGAACACTGTAACATAGACGAAGGAATATTTTATTCACAAGCTGTGCAACGCAGCAGGCAAAACCACAGAAGATAAACCTCAAAATACAACCCCCAAATATAGGATGTCCTCCCAAAATGTATGCACACATTTTAAACCATTATAAAGGCCGTGACTATTAAAAACAAAATTTCATTTTCAAAAACTGAGCTGTCAGCTGTTAAAGTGTGTATACATTTTGGGGGGACACCCTGTATCTATCTATCTATCTATCTATCTATCTATCTATCTATCTATCTATCTATCTATCATCTATCATCATCTGTCTATATCTATCTATCTATCTATCTATCTATCTATCTATCTATCTATCTTTATTTTTTTTCCCAACAGCCAATTTGAGAAAAACAAAACACCAAAATAATGAATGCCAGCCTTGAATTTCCATGTACTTAACCAATGTCCAACCGTTGTTAATCGTAAAATGTCACAAAATCCAAATAAGAGTTACATCCCGTTACTTGCAAGAGCAGCAGCTACAGAATCACACAGTAGGTCTTGGAGGCCCAAACGCAGATAATCCCCTAAAAGATCAGGTGATAGATTTTTCCAACACACCATGAACGACACCTAAACCTAAACAACCACAAAAGAAAGCTAATATCTGACTGTATCACCTGTTGCCACAGTATCACTCATTATTGAATGTGTTACCATATACATTGTATCATTCCATGGAAGCATTCAAAGGAAGAAACATCTTATCCATTCAACGAGTGCTCAAAGGATTTCCTAGCAATGAGGGTAACAAAGTTGCAATTCCTAGCAATGAGGGTAACAAAGTTGCAATCGCTTCGTCCCCGCAACACTAAAAGCACAATTTGCTCACCGCTTCCGGCGTGGGCATCCACGGGACGCAACCACTCACCTAAAATCCCCAGCCGGTAGTTGATTGTGATGACGATGACATTGCCGTAGCTGGCCAGGATGCTCCCGTCGATGATGTTGCCGGTCCCCTCCATGTAGGACCCGCCGTGGATATACACCATCACCGGCTTCTTGCTGCTCTGGTCGTGGATGTCTGGAGAGAAAGGGAATCGAGGACACGCCGTGAGGAGCCACACTGATGACCTGATGCTACGTAGAGACCAATGGGCACTGGTTACAGTTCCTAGCTCTGACTGGAGTCAGTCACGGGTGTATCGTTTAATGGCATCTGTCGTGATAAGACGGCTGAGGGAAATGATCGCTAGCATTGCATTTTGTACTCGCAGAGATGATATTCTGAGGAGCATACTGACATCTGAATATGTATGCCTAAGCATGTTTCTATATATATATATATCTAAGACACTAAAAAATTAAGGATTTCACCCTGGCTGGGTGGCTCGGTGGCTCAGTGGGTTGGAGCATCATCTGATGCACCAAAAGGTTGCGGGTTCGATTCCCAGTCAGGGCACATGCCTGGGTTGTGGGTTCGATCCTAAAGTGTGTACACAAGTCAACCTACCGATGTTTCTCTCTCTCTCTTTGTCTCTCTCGGTCTGTCTCTCTCTCTCTCGTCTTCTCTCTAAGATCAGTAAACATATCCTTGGGGGGGGGAAATTAAGGATTTAGATGAAATATGTTATTTCTTCAATAATGCTCAAACCCTAAAACCTGGCTTAAATTGAACCGACTCGTGGCATCCATCCCAAAATATAACTTTACCATCTAAGTAAGTGTGAGATCAACATGAAAGTTATGATTTTTGCTCTTCAGTCAAAGGGGGGCTTCACGGTGAGAACACAAGGATGGCAGTGAATCCACAAAGTCTCCATACAGGATCACGACAAAAACGAAACAAAGGCTTAAAAAAGATCCACAGGACAGAAAATGTGCAGAAGCAAAAAGAAAACTGAACGGGAAATGATGTCCAGGCAAATGCTTTTGCTCTAGGGGACTGACTGTGAGATCCCAACATAGTCAAGTGACAAAAATAAAAGAGATATAACAAAAATGACACAAGATTCCAGCCTTGAGATAAAATTATTAAAATACTGTATATAGGGTGTCCCCCCCCCAAATGTACACACACCCTTTGACGAATGACAAAAGCCATGTTTATTAAGATACACTTCATTTTCAAAATTGAGCTCTCATTTTTGGGAAGGGACACCGTGTATTTTCACAGGGAATATAAACTCCCATTGTGATTTGCCACCAGCAAGAATTACTTAATAATTAATTTGCTGTTTTATGAAACAGTTATGTGAAGACAATATTTGGCAGTGGTCTGTGATGATAGGAATCTAGGGACCATTTATTTGTCCATTTGTACAGCCTGTTTTTTTGAAAACGGATTGACACCTAAAATGTTTAGTATTAATCACCCCTTCAACTTACATTTCTATTTTAAGAAGTCTGACCTCAATTGTAATTATTCTGCATATATATATATATATTTATATATATATATATCCACACATATATATGCACGTGTCTGTGTAAATAACATATCTGATATCAAAAGAAAATCAAATGGTACCTAGGTACATTCAATTTCCCCTTTTTTATCTTGTCTTAATTCATCGAGACACCTTTTTAATATCAGAAAGGAATTTCAAGGAAACGGGCTACACATAAAGTGAATTCTAAGGACCGTCTCAAAACGAGCTCACGAGTTGCCATCATAGAGTCAGGAAGGCTCCAGAAACGCACTGGTCACAGTCAGGTACACAAAACAGTGCCAAGATGCCCAGGTGTCCCCAGATAGTTAACCCACAGCTGACGGACGTCTCTTGTTTTCTTACATAAAATTCAAAGAGAGTAAAAATCCTTTGTTCTTGATTTATGGGTCATAGTCCCTGGAATTTAGGAACAAACCTCTGTTTCTATAAGGCATGGCATTGGGCGTGGTCTGAGGCTCTACCTGGGCCCTGGTTTGCTGTTTGGTCCTGACTTATTTTATCTCTACGGGCTGCTGGCTACTCCACTTTGGAAGGGGAAAAAGTTGAGATTTTGATGGGCTGCTTTCAGGCGGTTAACCTCTCTCACCTCCCGAGACACGCAGAACTCGAGGGAGTAGTAACCAGATGCCGTGTTCATTCAGAGATTAAAAAAAATTCAGAGGTTAGCGATGATCAGTGAAAACGAGGGGCCACTTTAACGGTAATTAAGTTGCATTATGATAATGGAGAGACAGATCTTAATAACCAATAAGAAACACAGTAAAAATAGGGAGCACAGCAAGACACGAGTTATAGCCCTAGACTGTGAGAAAACTCAGAGGTTTTTTAAAAAATATACTGAAATGTATACACACTTTGAATGATTATAAAGTCACGGTTTATGAACACACAGTTCATTTTCAAAATTTAAAAGAATCTACAGAAATGAATAATTATTTTGGTCAGTGCCTGTTTGCAAACTGACGACCGTTCTGGTCCAGGCCTTGCTGATTCCACAAAGCAATGGAATCGCCAACATTAGGAATCATTTCATGCACTATTTGTATTCCCTCAATGCGTCAACAGTTGCCCTTATACTTTATCTTTTATGTATCCTCATAAAAAAAAGTCTAGTGGGCACTTTAGGATAAATGTCCTTTATTCAAAGCTTAGTCTGGCTTCACCCATTATTTCAAATCCATTAAACCTGAAAAGGACTGAAAATTAAGTGAGTGATCTGCTGCTAAAGTGTGTATACATTTTGGGGGAAAACGCTGTATTTTTGAATAGTTATAAAACTTCAGGCATCTGGGGTTCTTGTGAAAGCACAGGCTGGCTGTGGAATCAGGTGCGGGGTGGGATATTTTATACCAACAGAAGTGATCTCTTATAGAGCTATTGGAGATCAGGGCAGCCCATGAATGCAGGTAAAATAACAATCATTTAAATTGCCTTTCTGCTAGACAATCAAAGTTTCCTGGTGGGCCTTCAGCCTTTTATGGTAAATCGGAGCACGTCCATGCATTTTCCTACTCAGACTGGAAAAACGTGCTTATCTCTACCCTAGAAACGGTTCACAGTAACCAATTTTAGGCTCTATGTTTCTTTTGTTTTATACTATTTATCCCGCTGAAGGCACAGGATACAATGTATTCGTGGCCACTTTCATGTATCTTCCATCTTTTAAAAAATAATTTAGCCCGGCCAGTGTGGCTCGGTGGTTGAGCATCGACCCATGAACCAGGAGGTCACAGTTCAATTCCCGGTCAGGGCACATGCCCGGGTTGTGGGTTCCATCCCCAGTAGGGGGCGAGCAGGAGGCAGCCGATCAATGATTCTCATCATTGATGTTTCTATTNGGCGTGGCTCAGCGGTTGAGCATCGGCCTAGGATCCGGGAGATCGCAGTTCGATTCCCGGTCAGGGCATATGCCAGGGTTGCGGGCTTGATCCCCCAGTGCCGGGAGTGCAGGAGGCAGCCGATCAATGATTCTCATCATTGATGTTTCTATTTTTCTCTCCCTCTCCCTTCCTCTCTCTTTCTAAAATCAATTAAAAAAACATATTTTAAAAAAATCAATTTATTTCAGTTGGATAATTTATCAAGAAACTTTGGATTCTTCAAGAAGAAACTTTCCACAGTAAAGAAACATATTTTGGGGGGGGGGGGCATTTATAAAATAGCTGTGGTATAAAAAGAAAGATGCATAGAACTAGCTTTTTGGGCTTTTTCAATTCCTGACTGTTCCCTCTTTTTTTTTTTTTGGTTTTCTTTAAAGATACGAAAGGCATCCCTAAGGAAACAACATCTTGTTAATACACTTTTTATGTACTTCACTGTGAACCAGAGGAGATTCTCAGAAATGTAGTTTGGAATCACTGTGTTTGAAAAACAAATAAGTAAACACTTTAAAGAGCAGCCCCCCCTCCAAAAAAAAAGGTTCTATGGAGCTATTTGGCCAAGTTTTGCAGTTCACAGATGGAATTAAGACCCAAGATCCAAAATACGACATGAACTCACAAAATAACATTTGGAGGCAAGAAAAGATAGAATACATGCATGATTTAAAATTTCACGTTCTCTTCTTGTGACCAAGCCAAAAAAAGAAAATGTAAAAATAAGAATTTAAAAAAAAAAAAAGTGGAACTGAATTCTGTTTTTCACCTCGTATGTAGAAACGATGCTTATATGTCTTCTTACAGATAATGGACGGGCAGTCATTACACAGTCATTGGGATTAAAAAATGACAGTGGCTTCCAAGCAAGAAGAAAATAAAGAATTCTGCCCAGCACCAAAGTGTACTCATTTCAGGTAAAGAGAGAAAAAAGAGATTGAAATGGAAAAAAAAAAAAGAGAAAAAGAAAAAAAGAGAGAGAGATATAAAATCATGCATCAAGATCGAGCTTTGAAAAAAAAAACAAAACCACAAAAAATACCTTCGTCGTCACCACGCTCATTACTGGTTATATCATCTGCGCTTTTCTTTGTGTTGGCTCCTGGGGTCATATTGAGAAAGAAAAATAAAGGGAAAAAATAATTCAAAAACAGCAGGTTTGTAAAAAATTCAGGACAGAGAGAGACACACCACCCAGTAAAAGAAAAACAAAAAGTTAAAATCTGTTGTAGTTGGATTTCAAAAAAAATGAAAGCGGGTGATGCAAAATGCATAGAAACATAAAAGATGTCAAGAAAGAGAAATTCAATACGTTATTTGCGAAAAAGATATTAGATACCCTGTGGAAATGCAGTTTGGGGGTTAAAATGAGACTAATGCAAAAAAAAGAGGAAAAAAAAGCTAATGTGAGTTTAAGGAAGAAAAGAAAATTAAATTATTAAAAAAGACATTTCCCACACTCTTAAATGAAAGGCATGTAAAATAGTCAATGTTCCTCTGATTTTAACATTTTATAATCTAGATACATTGTTGAAATGTCAGTGATACATTTGGGTTACAAAATTCCATAATGTACGAAGAACACATTTAAACAGTAAACATGAAACATTTTCATTGAAACATCTTACCATTGGCATTAGTTTCATGGGTAAGAATTTAAAAACACACCATTTCTGGTAAAAATCAGAAATGCCAGTGGTCGATTTAAATCATGATCAAAGAACTAATACATATTGTAGTTTACCATTAAAAAACACTAAGACTTTCGATAAATATTTCTTAAGATGAAACACTGTGAATGATGTTTTCTCTGTTTGCAACACTTACGAAGTTATTACTTAATTACGATTTGAATTTGTAAAATAAATAACTGAAGCCACCTACCTTGATCACCTCAAACGGAAGCCACACAGGAATTTCCATGTAGACAAAATGTGGGGGATGAGCCTTAACCACACCAACGACCCTACTACTCTGCATCTGGGACACAGGGCACCCCTTTGGTTTTTTATATTTTGCAGATACAAGAGGCCAACACATTTACTGTCACTTGAATTGCTGGGTTCACTGAGTCCCCTGGCTTCCTTTTACAGACAGACACAGCCCAGCATGCATATCCCAGTTCCCATAATTTGAACTGTCTCCATCAGATATTGAAATCTATTCATGCCCAAGAATTCTACTGCATTTAAATATCTTTTTTTTTAATTCTCACCCGAGGATATTTTTTCCATTGCTTTTCAGAGAGAGTAGAAGTGGGGAGAGAAAGAGAGAGAGAGAGAAACATCGATGTGAGAGAGACACATCAACTGGTTGCCTCCTGCACGTGCCCCAACCCTGGGGGTCGAGCCTACAACCAAGGTATGTGCCCTTGGCTGGAATCGAACCTGGGACCCTTCAATCCTCAGGCCGATGCTCTAACCACTGAGGAAAACTGGCTAANCAACCCTGGGGGTCGAGCCTACAACCAAGGTATGTGCCCTTGGCTGGAATTGAACCTGGGACCCTTCAATCCTCAGGCCGATGCTCTAACCACTGAGCAAAACTGGCTAGNGAATCGAACCTGGGACCCTTCAATCCTCAGGCCGATGCTCTAACCACTGAGGAAAACTGGCTAAGGAAGCATTTAAATATCTTAAAATTAAAAATTACTCTCCATCACATTTGCTTGACAGTTGTTTGGGTTGTTTTTGTCAGGGTTTATCTGTATAAAACCTATTTCAAAGCCATCTCATGGACTGAGTTTATGGCTAAATGGTGTTAAAAAGCCTAAAAGAGATGTTTTTGTTAGAGAAAGAGCCTACATGGATGATACTATTAAACCATTTATGTTTGAAAACAAGTATTTCTCACTTCTGGGGAAAAAAAAAATTCAATTCATTCACAGAAGATTTTCTTTTCAAGTTTCTATAGAAATAGGTCACCCACTGCCCTGGCTGGTGTGGCTCAGTTTGTTGGGCACCATCCCTTGCACTGAAAGGTCACCCATTCGATTCCCAGTCAGGGCACATGCCAGCATCTTGGGCTCCATCCACAGTGAGGGGCGGGCAGGAGGCAGCCGATTGATGTTTCTCTCTCTTATCAAAGATTCTCTCTCTCTCCCTTCCTCTGTCTCTAAAAATTATAAAAAATGATCTTTAAAAAATAAAAGAAATAGGGCACCTCATTAAAAAACAAATGATAGTAGAGAAAATAAAGGTGTAGCCAAAAGACCTGGATGGGGACAGAGAATGTGTTTTGTGAATAAGCTGATTCTCACCAAGAAAAGTGTTGTGTGTGTTTTTTCCCCTCTCTCCTGGAAAATGAGCAGTCGACATTAAGAAACAGGGTCTTCCACTCAGACCCCATACTAGAGATTTACCTTCCCCATGATCCCGTCCTGATAGTCCAGTCTCCTTCTAAACTATCTTTCTATACAATTCTTTTCTCTTCCACACGGCAGCGAGAAGCACAGAAGCATGACCACTGGCCTGGCTCACATCAAACAAAGTCCACCCTCAGGGTCCAGCGTGAAGTAAATGCCATTATTGCAAGGGAAGGGAAAAAGTCCTGTCTCTTTCTTTGCGGTGGCCGTCCACAATTTATGAGAAGCACCCGGTAATTAAACCCCAAGATCCTTGGCTCCTCTGATTCAAACAGCCCCTCTGTTCAAACTACAGACAAGATTAGCTACTCTCAAGGCTACATTGTTGCATCCCCTCCTCCCTGCTGTTTTCACAACTCTCAAGGCTACATTGTTGCATCCCCCCTCCTCCCTGCTGTTTTTACAACTCTCAAGGCTACATTGTTACATCCCCCCCTCCTCCCTGCTGTTTTCACAACTCAGGGATAATTCGCACCAAGGAGTCTCTACTTAGTAGAAAGTTCCCTTCCCCCCTCCCCTGCAAAAAGCCTCTTTTACATTCCTCATAACTTTGGTTCTAAGCTTGTTTTACAGGCCTGGGGGAAAATACTGATAGGATACCTCCCTAGGACATCTGCGGGACTGTCACCTGGAAAGGAAACAAACTGTAACTTTTCAAGGCAGCCCCTGGTATCTGCTCAACTTCAACACACAACCCAAACCCCTCCCTTCCTTGTCACTTAGCAACAGCCTCTGCTTAAAAGTAAAAGCTGCCCTTTATTCCCTGCCCTGTAATGACTGGCAACACACTGGCCTTTACTGTCTTGGAAAGTTAAATAAACTTCCTCTCTGCAACTCTTCTTTTAGTTGTGAATTCTTCCATAGCCCACGCGCCTGACCAGGCCCTAACAATTATCTTTCCCAAGACACAGCTCTCAAGGGCTTCAGCCTCACGGTCAGTGCATGAAATCTGAGTCATCTGAAATACTTCTGGAGGCAGGATGAGAGGCAGTGCTCAGGGAAAGGTCCCCAGAGAATGGAGAAAGATGTCCTCAAGATTTGCAATGCCTTTACAATTTTCAAGACATCGTTGAACCCCTGTCTAAGTAGCAATCCAGGCTAATTGTTATTAAATCCCTTTGTGATTTTTGAGAGCTTTACAGAGGCATGATTTACATATCATAAAACCAACTCATCAAGCTACACAATTCCAGGGCTCAATCATCTACTTTCTGTCTCTTCACAGATTTGTCATTTCTGAGCATTCCATATAAATAAATTCATATACTGTGTAGTGGTCTGTGTCTGGCTTCTTTCACTCAGCAGAATGTTTTCAAAGTCTATCTTTGCTGTGGTGTGTACCAAGACTTCATCTCTCTATTTTTAAAAAATACATTTTTATTGATTTTTTAGAGAGAGAGAAACAGAAACACCAATGATGAGGGAGAGTCATGAATAGGCTACCTCCTGCACACCCCCTGCTGGGGATCAAACACACAACCTGGGCATGTGTCCTGACCGGGAATCGAACCCTGACCTCCTGGTCTATAGATCAAAGCTCAACCACTGAGCCACACCAGCCAGGCAAGACTTTATCTAATACTATACTCTATGGACAGACCATCTTTTGTTCATCCATTCATCTGTTGATGGCCCCTTTTAATTTTTGGTTTTGCATCTTTTGTATTATTTCCAGTCGGTGGCTATCATGAATAGTGCTGCTACAAACATTAGTGTCCAATTATTTGAAATGGGCGTATATTTTCATTTCTCTTAGACTGAAACCTGGGAATGGAATCAACAATGTATATGGCTAATTTTTGTGTAATATTTTAAGAAACCAGCAGACTGTTTTCTAAATGAGCTATATCGTTGCACATTCCCACCAGCTGCATATAAGCGTTCCAGTTTCTCCATCCCTTTGCCAGGATTTGTTATCTTTTTCATTATAGCCATCCTACTGGCTGTGAAATGGTGCATCATCCTGCACCATTTAGCTAATGACTAGAGATGGAGGACATCTTCTCATGTATTATATTCTTTATCTACTCAAATACTATGCCCATTTTTTAAAACTGGATTCTTTGTTTCTTATCATTGCCTTATAAGAGTTTCTCATATATTTTTTTAAATTTATTGACTTGAGAGAGAGATTTGTTGCATCCCACACGCTCCCCGGGATCAAGCCTGTAACCGAGGTATGTGCCCTTGTCCGGAATCGAACCTGGGGCCCTTCAGTCTGTGGCTGACATTCTAAGTGCTGAGGAAAACCAGGTAGCACCCATTGGTTCATTCTTCTATGTGCCCTGACCTCGGATCGAACCCGTAACCTAGGTGTATTGGGACAACGCTCTAAGCAGCTGAGCTACCCAGCCAGGGCTCCTTATATTTTTTAGATACAAGTGTTTGAGCAGAAATATAACTCGCAAGTCTTTTCTCGCAGCCCCTGGCTCCTCTTTTGGTTTTCTCAATGCTGTCTTCTGAGGGACATGCATTCTTGATTTTGACGAGATCTAACTTGTCCATTGTTTTCCTATAAAACATGTACTTCTGAAGTCATATCTAAGAAGTCCCTCCCAAAACCCTGAAGATAGCTCCTTATGCGTTTTCTTTCTAAATATTGAAGACTTGACTTTTTATATTTACATCTTTCATCGATACTGAGTAAATTTTGGTGTAGGAGCTAAGGGGTGACCTTCACCTCGCTGCCTCTGAACATCCAATTGATTCAGACACATTCATGGAAAACTCTCTTCTTTCCCCACTGAATTATTTGAACAACCTGCAGAAAGAGCCAATTTTCTATGCATCTATGTATCTATGAGTTTGTTTCTGTTTTGTTTGTTCATTTACTTGGCTTTTCAGATTCCACATAGAAGTGACTTTATTAAAAAGTACATATTATTGGAACTTATAGAATATTTACGGGGATGTAAAATACAGCACATGGAATATAGTCAATAAT